TTGAAGATTTCGGGTTTGGGGTCTGTAGTGAACATTGCGTAGCCTCGGGAGAAGTCTACCATCAGTCCTGCTCCGTTACGACCCATGAAATCCATGCCGATCAGGACGGGAACCAAAGCAGACTGCTCAAACCCTGATTGGTAGTACTCGGTAGGATTAGGCAACGTGTACAGCGAGAATCTTCGGGTGGTACCTGAAACTGAGCTCGAGAAGTGAACACGACAAAGAGCTCGACCCCATCTCCCGTTGCCAAAACGAAAGTATGGCCGCGCACCTTGGTCCAGTTCGATCTTCGCATTGCGGTCGTGAGACAACACGGCTGAAATCAGCCCTTGCACAACGGCATCCGGAGCAGCCGATGCCGTCGCTCCGCTGTCTAACATCCCAACTTGCGGTCGAACCTCAGGCTTGGCAAGCTCGGTGGTAGCGGCTTCGAAGGCATCGGACAGCTCTAGTCCACCAACAAACATATCGCTGCTGTAGGCATTGACCTGGCGAAAACCGGAAGAATCCTTGCTCTTCCCTTTTCCCTTGCCTTGCTTGCCCTTCCACAAGGCTTGCAGGTGGAGATCAGACCAGTAGCCCTTCTTGGACTTGCCCTTGCCCTTGCCCCATGTAGTCGCCGGGGGACTCGTAGTCCGCGTAGAAGGCACCCTTCTTGCCATGGCCCTTGCCCTTGGAGTATCCGTGAGCGCGTCCAAGGGGGCAGTCGCGGATCATGTGGTTGCCTCCGCAGTTGAAGCACTTCATTGGAGCACCGAAGCCTCGGTCTTTCCTTAGCTGTTGCGTCGCCCGTTGTGCCTCCGTCCACGTCCACAGCGAGGCTCTCCGCAATCTTCTCGGCCTTCGCCGCCTCCTTCATTTTCGGATCGTCCTCTTCCGAGGGTTCGGCAACCGCAGGCATGGCCACGGGATTCCAGTCTGAGGCGCCAGGACTCCACCAGTGGTCCGAGTCTCCGAGTCATCCCAGGCCTCCTCACCAGCGTAGTAGCCCTCGTACCAGCTTGGCTCGTTCCACGCCCAGTCGTCGTGGTCCACGTAGAAGGCTTCCGACTGACCTGGGACCTGGGCGTCCACGAAGTGAAGATGGTGAGGAGCTCCACCGTGGCCGCGATGTCCCAAAAGTTGATCATCCCACAGACTCTGCAGTGCTGCTGCCACTACATCGTAGTCCAAAGAGTTCTTCGTGGAGGACAGGATGTCCCTTTTCTCTTCCGCCGACAGGCCGGCTGCCTGGAGCACTCCCATAATGAAGGAGTCGGCCACCGTCATCTCATTCACGGCAGTCTTGGCCGTGGGCGGTGTGCCCACTTGTGGACTGCCGCCAGCAGTCCGTGCTGTCGGCGAAGCATCAGCCATGGAGCGATGGCTCGGCGAAGAACCTGGAGCAGCACCGTGGTAAGCAGCACCATCTCCTTCTCGTTCAGGATCTCCCTCAGCAGGTCCTTCTCGGTCGGCGGAATCGTCGGGAGGGGCATCTTCGGCGTCCGGGGCCTCGTAGCCATCGTCATAGTTCCACCAGCCCCAGGATCCGCTCCAGTCTTCGTCATCCCATTCCTCGTCTAAGCGTGGCAGACCGAAGTCCCGTTGGTCCTGGGTCAGGCCTTCTTTCTCTTCGTGAAGACGAATGATCGCCTCCACGAACTCCTCGTGCACCAAAGTCTCCCTCACCAAGAAGTTGCCGATCGTCTCCGAAGGATTCCTCCTGAAGGAAAAGTACTGCTGGCAGATCGCCGCAGCATTCGGAAGGGATTTCCTCACCAACAATGAGCTCGCCAGCTTTTGCAGTAGCACTTTCACACCATCCTTGCTATCTAGCACCAATGTCGACCAACTCATCGCTAGCAGCCGCGCGGGGCCTGTCAATCGTGACAGAAGCTGAGCTCCGCAGTAGCGACGCTTGTACACCGGCACTGATTGCACCCACCAGGCCACCTCGCGGGTGTACCTGCGCCATGACCTGGCCGCACCGTCCCAGGTCGGGACCACAGCTCGATCCTTGGAATCAGCCATTGGGAAAACTGAGAAAGGGCAGCGAGGCTGCCGAAAGTAAAACCTGGAGAAAACCCACAAGTGATCGTCACGAGGGGGCGGCCGTTGATCGGGTAGTAGACACCGTTCTGAACAAGGGGATCAAGGGCCTAGCAGCTGGTCTGGAGCACGGCCCTGGGATCGGCACGTGCTCCGCTACCAATGCAGCGGAGGTAGCTGCACTGGGCGTTTGGGCTCTTCTTGAAAGGGGTTCCAGCTGAAGTCACGATAGTAGGCACGAGCGCACACGCTCTGATGTTTTATGCGCACAAAGCACACGTAGCAATGGCTCTCGTACGGCACACTAAAAGGGGCCCCTTCATGAGCCTTCACATGCGACGGCATATGCTGCTGATAAGGTCTCAGACAAGCTACACTTGTTGCAGATGACGAACTTGCATGTGGTTCCTAAATCTAGAGTGAAATCTGCCAGTGCAGAGAGCAGGACTGCGTCTGCTCTTCTTTTTTGCGGCCCGGAACGGTTATGTCCGAAATCTAAGGCCCTCTTGCTGAGGCAGCTTGCGGCAGCCTGACCAACATGGCAGATGCAAGCCCGACCATTCATGTTGAAGATCCGGCAACATGCGTGATTTTTTCAAAACTAGTGATGCCAGCTCAGCAGCTCCAGAGGCAATGCCACCTTCGTTCCTGTTTCTACTCGGCCACTGGCCCCGGCTCTTACCGTAGAGGTTGTACTGGCTTACCCCTTGCCTTGCGCGCTAGACTGCCAGGGGCCTTTTTGCCCAGGCGTTCGCCTTCGTAGGAGTCCAGAAGCGTCGCCATCAAGGAGACATATTTGGCTAGGGGAGGCACTGGCCGGTGGTCCAGGATGAGGTGATCTTTCTTGGCACTCAGCCGGGCAGAGCAGTACGCCACATGTGCTGATAGGAGGTTGTGAGGTTCCGGCCCAAGGTCCGAGACCCACTTCTCGAAGTCCTTAAGAGCCAACGAGTCGGTTCCGGGTGGAACCTGCTTGGACTTAGAGAGTTCGAAGAGCAGTGCCCCCGCCACGTAGTGATGGATGGCTCCAAAGGGATGAGCTTTGCCTTGCTTGTGCTCCGCCTGCCACGCTTGGACGAACTTCAGGAGCATCTGAGACAGTGGCTGTCCCGCCGGGAGCTTGTATACCAACTATGTCTGGAGTTGCATCAGGGCCAGCTGCTCTTCATGAAGGAGGAAAGCCTGCGTAAGCTCGTGATTGGAGAGAGCCTTGACTCCTCCCGATTTCGGGCCCGCCCCCCCCCGAGGGCCTGGCTGGAGGAAGCATGCGGTGCGCCGAAGTTCACTACGCCCGGAGGCCCTTCCTGCATGTCCGCATCCTCTTGGTGAGTGTCCGCGGTTCGCTTGTGGTCCGGACTCTTCCCTGGGCTCTTCGATGTTCCAGCCATGGCTGAAAAAGACTAGCTTTCGGCTCTCGACTTGAAAAGAAACTGCGGTAGGTCCGCACATGCCT